AATGGCCAGAGCTAAGCCCATACAGAATGCAGGTGCTGGGAGGTGGAGGATTAGCCAGTTGAGCCATGGTGCTAGGTGCTCTCCTATCTCCAACCCCACACCTCCACTTCTCATCCAGCTCCCTACTAATGGCCTCAAAGACAGCAAAGGATGACCCAAGTGCTTGGGCCCATGGACACATGCGAGAGACCCAGAAGAGGCTACTGCCTCCGGGCTTCTGACTGGCCCAGCTTTGGCTACTGCAGCCATTCAGGGAGTAGACCAGTAGATAGAAGATCTCTCTTCTAACTCTGCCTTTCAAATAAAAATAATTTTTAAAAAAATTATCAAAGCAGAAACTACTATACTGATATCATTCCTTAAGCAAAGATTCTCAGATGTTACTGTGCATCCAAATCCTTAGAGTTGCTACAACACAGATTACTGGGTCCTATCTCATGGTTCAGCTTCAGTAGGTCCATAGTGAACTCAGAAATTCTCATTTCTAACTGTTTTTAGATCATGCTATTATAACACTTATTGACAGCTTTGGTTTATATACTAGTTTAAGTATACCCCCAAAGTTCTATGCATTAAAAGCTTGATCCCCAGTATTAATCCAATTGCACTGTCAAATGGTGAAACCCTGAAAAACGATAAATCACATCGCTAGAAAGAGAGGATAGGAAACAGATTCATCTTCCATTGCTGGTTCACTCCTCCAACAGCCTCAACAGATAGGTCTGGGCCAGATGAAGACCAAGAGCCAGAACTGCATTCTGGTTTTCCCCATGGATAGCAGAGGCCCAAGAACTTAGGCCAACTGCAGTTGCCTTCCGAAGCCACAGAGTGGGAAGCTGGACTGGAAGCAAAGACGTGGAGACTCAAATCAGCACTCTGGTACAGGATTGCCAGCATTGGAAGCAACAGGCTAGCTCACTGCCCCATAACACGGTGTCCTCCATGGTGTGTTCACAAGCACAGAATGAACGAACCCCCTTGCCCTCTGCTCCCTGGCTATGACCATTCCCCTGCAATGTCCTGACGCCCACTGTACTCTCATCAGATACTAGACCACTGGGATCAGCTGACCATGGAAAGCAAATTTACAAAGCAGTGAGCAAAAATAAACCATTTCTTTTGAGCCAGCTCTTCTTGTGTATTTAAATTATAGTGATGAAGAGCTGACTTACTACACTGAAACTCCAGGATAACACAAACATTAGACAAAGCTGGAGACTTTTTTTTTTTTACATATACCATGGTACCAGGCAAGCACACTCCTGAAAAGAAATCAAGCTGAAATCAAGTAAACCAAAAATTCAGCACTTTTCACATCTCTTCTCCATGAGATATACCAAAGCAGCTGAGGCAGAGCAGCTCCAAGAAGAAACAATTAAGCATTGAACTTTCGATCTTTAACTATAATGCAGCAACTGGTATCTTCATTAGCTTTCCCTCACATCTCAAAGTGATGGTTTGTATCTCTCACTGATGACATTCATAAAATCTCTGCAACCCAACTTCTACATACATTTCCTCCCCCACCAAATTCTAATGAATCTCAAAATTTTAAATATTTCTAATGCCCAAATTACTGGAGTGTCATCTGTATTTTTGCTAACCCTTTTGTAACACTGCTCTGCCAACCCACTTGCCTCAGCAATTATCCGCTTCAGCTTCCATGGTCATCTTTTCTGCAGCTAGACTCCTCATGGGAGTTTTTTCATTCAGACTGCTTTTTCAATCACTTTGTCAGGAAGGAAAGCAATTATGATCACAGTTCTTACGCAAGGAATGGGAGCCTTTCCTGAAACACAGACTGAGGTCCATTGCAAAAGAATACAGGGCCTCTGTGGCACAGCAGAAGTTGAGCCTCTGCTTGGGACACCTGCATTTGAGCCAGCCTCCACTTCTGATCCACTGTGCTGCTTAAGCATCCTGGAGGCAGCAGATGACAGTTCAAGCACTTGACTCCCTACCACCCATGGCTGGAGATCTGGATTCCTGGCTTCAGCCTTGCCCGATCCTAGCTGTTGTGGACATTTTGGATAGAACAGAGTGCTCCCAGATGCTCTCCTGGGGTGATAATTGGTGATAATTGCTGAAAATTTCAAATGGACAGGGCCTGAGCAGGACAAAGACCAGCATGTTTGGAATAGTTCCATAAAGAAAGCTTTGAGCATGAAGTGGGGGTACACCTGTACTGCTCCCTCTGCCTTTTCAACAAAACTTAAAATAAACGTTTCTTTAAAAACAGAAAAGATTCTCCAAAAGTCTTGGTTTCCTGGCTTGCTGCTGTCTTGTTATAGCAGGTTCCTTCTACAAATTAAAATCATTCTCCTTTGTATTCTAAACAAGCACAATGATGTAACAGGATATCTGCAGCAAAGAAAGTAATAAACAGGTAAAATACCTCTTCCAGAGACGGCAGCGATCTTATCTACATGTTGCCTGGCACTAGAACAGACAGAACAGAAAACTCAGGAAACCTTTTGACCAGTCTCTGTTTCCATGCTCTAAAATTTCCATCACATTGCAATGACAAGAATCATAATGGTCAGGTCTGACAGGGCAAACATTCCCCAGCCTGCTAGAACTCCCTCAGTCTCCTCAGCATCTCCTTCTCCCGACATGCCTTTCTTACAGGTGTACCCCCACTTCATGCTCAAAGCTTTCTTTATGGAGCTATTCCAAACATGCTGGTCTTTGTCCTGCTCAGGCCCTGTCCATTTGAAATTTTCAGCAATTATCACCAATGTCACCTAAAGCTAACAAACAAATAATAGCACTAACCTGTCTTCCAGGTCACCTCACCTCAAACCATCAGGCTGTTCCCTCACTCACCAAGTCCCCAGGAACGAGGAAGACACAGGGCAAGTACCCCCACACACTCTTCACGTTTAGTGCTGTGCACAAAGCAGGCACTCAAACAGGACAGAGCCTAGAATTTTTTTTTTTTAAGATTTGTTTTATTTATTTAAAAGGCAGAGTTTCAGAGAGAAGACAGGGAAGACAGAGAAACAGAGGGATCTTCCAGCCACTGCTTCCAGAAGTAATCTCATTTCCTAGCTGGGAAACTTTGTGTGTCTCTTTCTCAAAAGATGAAATTCAGGGCTGATGTGGTATAGTGGTTTAAACTGCCACCTGTCATGCTGGCATCCCATACGTATGCTGGTTCATGTGCCAGGTGCCCCTCTTCCAATCAGCACTTTGATAAGGCACCTAGGAAAGCAGTGATAGATGTCCTAAGTACATCTCTGTCTTTCCTTTCCTCTAACTTTACCTTTCAAATAAATACAAATCTTTAAAGAGAAAAAAAAAAAAGATACAGTTCACACACAATTGTCCCAATTCATAATCTGGTACAGACACCTCTCCAACCTCCTTTTACCACTCTGTCACATGTCTAAGGAACTTGTCAGCAAACACTGACTGTTCCTTTGCATAGAAACCTACCACCTTCTTCCTGCCTCCCCAATCTAAGGAACCGGCACCCTCTCCCTGATGTCCCCTCTGTGCTCTCACTGAACTAGCACCAACCACAGTGCATCAGAATTAAATACTACATCTGCACTTTTTACTACATGTAGCTCTTAAGAGGGAACCTGGCCTCTCCCAGCAGACCCTGGCTGACTGCTCCCAGGGAGCTCTTCACACAGTGTCCTCTGCCCAAAAGAATAAAATCTTCCAAGGTTCTTACCACTCTGAGAAGCTACACCATTACTTCAACACTGTGGTCCCTGCTCACAATATCTTCGGAACTTTCAGAAGGCCACTTGGAACTGCCTTCTGAGCCTACTGGTTTTCTGGTGAAGAAATTCAGTCTCCTCTGTTTTCAGGAACCATTTACAACCAAATGTAGAGCCACAGTTGAGCACCACCCTCCTCCAGCTACCCCCTGCACCACAAGTGGGGGTTCTCTCCAAGCCTGAGAGCCCGCCATCACTGACACGGTGCCACGGGTCCTTCATTGTAGATGCAAGCGCAAAATAGCTTTGTGAGGGGGAAGCAGCATTAGAGTAAGTCTGGCATCTCCAAAGGTTCCCGATTGACAGCAAGGATGCCAGTGTGTGTTTAGGCACAGGGTTTACTTTTCAGACAACATGTCATTGCAACGTGCTGAGCATTTGCAGAGTGAACCCATGAGAGGGCGAAACATGTCTCAGTTTCTCCGAATCGTAGTAAGGAGACTATGCTTACCCACCTGAAATAAAGCAATGCCAAGACCAATGGGAGCTAAGCCTCATGACTGTTGCATTTGCAAAGACTAAGATTCTGTTGTAATAATTTCGTCAGAACACTACGAAGGAACCACCCAGTGCACAAACTGCACAGCCCTCTTCCAGAGGATTCCATCCTTTAAACAAGGGATGCTACCCACACCACAAGAGGAGGCATCCTCATCTGGCTTAATTCAGCCTGCACTGAACACCTGCTGAGGGCTCTGCCCCTTTTCCAGGAGCCCTAGAAGGCTTGCCTCCAAAACCAACCCAGGCAACATCTCGTCAACGCACTCCATACACTCGTAGCCAGCCACTCCCAGTGAAGCCGTCCGCACCAAGGGCTCCAGTTACCTCCACACAGATTCGGAGGCAGCTCAAGTCGCTACCTCCATGGCATCCCTGTGAGAAGGGAGAAAGGCTCATTTTCTCCATCACTTTGCTAGGAACATTAAGGAAGCAGTGCGATGAGGGGCGGTCCCACACCTCTTCCTCCTCTCCCGAAGCAGCAGAAACCGGGATCACGGACAACACAGTCACAAGCCCGCTGGCTGGGAGAGAAGGAAGGACCAAACTCCAGCTCCTTCCTGCAGACACGGACAGCGGCGCCGCCCGTCCCCATCTCCTGGGAGCTTCAGGTGGAGGCAGGGTAATGGGGAACAGAGGAGCAGAGGGGAGAAGAGGGGCGCTCGCGTGCCCCCTCAGCAAACCCTCCACCGTCCCGACAAGTAGCTCGCTGCCAAGGCAACCCGAGGCCACAGGGCCAGGGACCCCTTACTCCCCGCCCACGATGGGTACCTTCGAGTACTCCTGAGCCAGCTTCTGGTACTTCCCCTGCAACTCGGCCGAGGCCATGGCCTCCCCCGCCCCGTCCAGGCCAGGACGCCCAGGACGCCGCGCCCCGCCCCCCGCCCCCAGCCCCGGCTCCCGGGGACGGATCCGCCAGCGTTCGCCCGCTCGGCCGCCGCCGCGCCTCCTCCACTTCCGGGTTCGCGGGGCGGGAGGAAGGCGGAGCGTGGCTGGGGGCGGAGCGACGTCCGGGGTGGGGCGGCGCCGGGGGCGGGACGAAGCGAGGGCGGGGCACCGCCCCAGCTCTCGCGCCCGAGCACATGCGCGCGCAGCCTGGCTGGCACGCCCCGGCTGGGCTCTGCGACTGAGGGCGCCATCTTGGACCCTGCGTCAAGATGGCGACGTGGAACGGGCAAGGCTGAATCCGGAGGCTACAGAATGGGCGGATACCGGGGAGATGGACTGTGGTTACGCAGGACCTGGGGACCGGAAGAAGAAACATTCGAAGCCCTGCGAGAATTCGGTCCGTCCTGTCTTCGTCCCCGTGGTTTCCAGGGCAACCGACTGGCGTTGGCCGATTCTCTCTGAGCGCGTGCTTGCAGAGAAAGGCTCTTACTGTGTTGTGCTTAGTCTTTCTGTACGAATCTTTTCATACTATAGTGTATGGTCATTTGCTTTTCATACCTAACATGATGTTTGGCCATGTGAATGCATACAGCTACACGCAGATTTATACAGATTTATACAGATTGTGGGTTGTTGTTTTAACTGCTGCATTGTAACTTAAGGCAGTTACCTGTTACCCATTTCTTTATCAATGAACATTTCAGTGCTGCAATGAATTGCAATGCGTAGAACAATTCTAAAATAGATTTAAAACGAATGAGCGAAGGCGCTACAAGTTGATGGAAGATCTATCTCTAACTGACTTTCAAAAGTGTATTTGGCCTGTCTTAGATTTTCATTTGGCTGTGAGTAATCCAGGATTTTTTTTTAAGATTTATTTTATTTTTATTGGAAAGGCGGATATACAGAGAGAGAGGAGAGACGGAGAGGAAGATCTTCGGTCCAATGATTCCCCAAGTGAGCACAACGGCCAATGCTATGCCGGTCCGAAGCCAGGTGCCTCTTCCGGGTCTCCCACACGGGTGCAGGGTCCCAAAGCTTTGGGCTGTCCTCGACTGCTTTCCCAGGCCACAAGCGGAGAGCTGGATGGGAAGCGGGGCTGCCGGGATTAGAGCCGGCACCCATATGGGATCCCAGGGCGTGCAAGGCGAGGACCTTAACCACTGCGCCACCGCGCCGGGCCCTAATCCAGGATTTTGTAATGAGGGACTGTGTGAGCAATCTCAGTGTAATGGGTCAGGGGATTTAAATGTTCATGTTTTCTAGTTTGGTTATAGTCAAGTCCTATCATCCAGCAAACTATTTAGAATCATGAACATTTAAATCATTATTATTAATTTTCTGTGGCACCACCAAATGACAGTATTAAATATTATGAATTTATTTCCATACTTTGTAAAAGAATGAAATTTTTAATGATTAAAAAGGTTTTCCCAGAAACTTCTCAAAATATCTTAAAGAACAAATGTACAACTTTAGCCGGAGACCTGTGTAAGTTCATTTTCCTAAATTTATAATTACTTATCACTGCCCAATCTAGCTCTGTCTGATGTACTGTTTAAAACTCTTAGGTAAGGGCCAGTGCAGTGACCAATCTTCTGGCTACAGCACCTGTATTCTGCCAGTTTGTGTGCCGGCTGCTCCAATTCCCATCCAGCTCCTTGCTTATGACTTGGGAAAGCAAAAGGGGATGGCCAAAGGCCTTGGGACCCTGCACTCATGTGAGAGACTCAGAAAGAAGCTTATGGCTCCTGGCTTGGATTGGTTCTGCTCCAGAGTCATTGCGCCCACGTGTGGGGTAAACCAGTGGACAGAAGACCTTTTTGTTTTTCCTTCTGTAATATCTGTATTCCAATAAAAATACATCTTTTTTTTTTTATAAAAAATCAGGTTAAAAATTAAAATACAGTAAAGAATCTTTCCCATTGAAGGAACAGAAAGATAAACCAGAGTAGAAGATATTTGCTATTATATATCATATGATATATTTATAGTATATATAGTGACATTTCACAGAGGTTTTACATTTGTGTATATTACATATGCATGTGTGGTGTGTGTGTGTGAAGGGTCCTTTATCCAAATATATAAAGAGCTTTTACAAGTCAAAAGGCAACCAATGGAAAATGATCAGATGACTTCAACATACTTCACAAAAGATATAAAAATAATCAGGAAACATGCAAAGCATGTTCAGTTTTATTAGTAATCAGGAGGAAGTGAAAGTGAAACTTCCGAGATCCACTGTACTCCCACACAAATGACTGAAATTAAAGGGAAGATTTGGAAATAGGGAAACTTGATAAAATTCTGGTAAGGGTGTGCACTGGAGTAGTCATTTGGGAGAGAAAATGAGGCATTATCTACTCATTTGAAAGAATCCATAACAACATATAGGATCCAGCAATCTACTCTTGGTATATACCATGTAAAAATGAGAGCATATTTTTATCAAGGATGTTCATAGAAGCATTAACTCTAATAACCAAAATAAAAGAAAAAAAAAAAAAGGCTTGTGCCAGTCCTGGCTGCTCCACTTGCAATCCAGCTCACTGCTCATGGCATGGGAAAACCAGCACAGGATGGCCCAAGTGCTTGGCACCTACAGCCTATGCCAGAGACCCAGATGAAGCTCCTGACTCCTGGCTCCTGGCCCCTGGCTTGGGCCTGGCCCAGCCCTTCTCACTGTGGCCATCTGGGGGAAAAAAACAATGGATACAAGATTCTCTCTCTCTCTCCCTCTCTTTTCCTCTCTTGCCCTTCTCTGTAACACTTTCAAATAAATTAATCATTTTTAAAAAAGACTTTAAATGTTTATGAACAGTGCCCAGCGCAATAGCATAGCAGTTAAGATCCTTGCCTTGAATGCGCTGGGACCCCATATGGACACCAGTTCTAATCCTGGCAGCCCTGCTTCTCATCCAGCTCCCTGCTTATAGCTTGGGAAGGCAGTCAAGGACTGCCCAAAGCTTTGGGACCCCTGTACCCGTGTGGGAGACCCAGAAGAAGCTCCTGGCTCCTGGCTTCAGATTGGCTCAGCTCCAGCCATTGGGGCTGCTTGGGGAATGAATCATCAACGGAAGATCTTCCTCTGCCTCTCCCCCTCTCTGTATATCCTCCTTTCCAAAAAAAAAATAAATAAATCTTTGAAAAAACATTTATGAACATGGGCCCAGCGCGGTGGTGCAGTGGTTAGGGTCCTCGCCTTGCACGCCCGGGATCCCACAAGGGCGCCGGTTCTAGTCCCAGCAGCCCCGCTTCCCATCCAGCTCCCTGCCTGTGGCCCGGGAAAGCAGTCAAGGACAGCCCAAGGCTTTGGGATCCTGCAGCTGTGCGGGAGACTCGGAAGAGGCTCCTGGCTTCGGATCAGCATAGCATCGTTCGTTGCGCTCACTTGGGGAGTGAATCATGGGACGGAGGATCTTCCTCTCTGTCTCTCCTCTCTGTATATCTGCCTTTCCAATTTAAAAAAAAAAAAAAACATTTATGAACAGAGTGGATAATGGTTGAGAATATGGAAAACTGCACAGCAATAAAAAAAAAAAAGGACCAAGCTACAGCTGTAGTACTTTTTCAGTAAATCTTAGAAAAATTATGCAGAGAAAAATAAGCTAGACTGAAAAAAATTATACTGTATGATTTCACTTATATAATATTTTGAAATAACAAAATGCAGCTAACAACTCAGGGATGCCTCCATGGGTGATGAAACTGGAAGCAGAAAAAGAGAAATGTAACGAAGTGATCCCCATCCAAGATTTTTGTGCTGGGGAAGGAATGACAAGTGCTGGGAGCAGACATGAGATAAGTTTGGGTGGGGGGATATTGGCAATGTTCTACTTCTCACCTATGTGGTAATTACACAGTGTTAATTTCATGATAATTTGGTATGTGTATATTTTAGTGAGAGTGTTGCATTGCATAATAAAATCTTTCACAATTTCAGTTGCTTCATATTTGCCAACAGTAGTTCTCAAGCTATAAATGAGTAGTATATTTATGGGGATGCATATAAAGGGAGGTCTTACAATTACTATAAATATGCAAGTGCTATAATGATCATTGAAACATCCAAAAGCCTGTTGTTTGGGTGTTTTGGCTTTTCAGTTGTAAGAGAAAATGAATTCAAATTATCTTGCTTTTCAGTTGCAAGGGAAACACCAACCAAGAGGGGGTCTGCTGGAAGCGGTGGGAACGTCCCCCTTGGTAACAGGTCCAGGGCTGCTGGACCTCAGGCACAATTTAGGGCGGAGATCTGAACGTTTCGCCAGCTCTCCTGTCTGCCCCCCCATCCTCTTGCAGGTCTATCCTCACGTCCACGAGGGAGCGAGCAACACAACACAGGGCTGGAGACCCCGTTTCACTTTGCCCTCACAGAGAAACTAAGTTTGGGTTTCAAAATTCCCAAGGAAGTTCTCTGCTAGACACTTACCTGGGAGAGATGCCCGTCTTGGGAGCAGTCGACCCTCACAGGATGGGCATGTCAGTTGGGAAAAGCTCCCCTATCCCCAGGTCTGACCACGTCCAGACAGACTGGAACAGTCCTGCTCTTTGCCCAGCTGCAGGCTTTCATGGCAGGTGCCACGAAGCTATGTAGGGATATTTCACAACCAAGGCAAGAAGAGCCAGAAAGCTGTGTCAGTGCCCACCTGGCACAGATCCCAGGCCCCCTGTTTCACACTTGACAACACCATGTGCTCACCACACATCCACAAGTGATCTCAGAGTGGGGGAAGGGGACGAAAGTGAGAACAAATGTTTTCTGTGAAGGACTGTTTGTTGTAAACTAAGAGACTAGAACTATCTTGAAGAAAGGAAGGGGTCATTTTCTCTGCACGAATATGGTACGACTCGACTCTACACATACAGCATTATCAAGAATGAGTTTTGTTTTAGTGTTTCATTCTCCGCCATGAACAACAGATCTGGAAAAAGAAAGGATTTAGTGGTGTCCTTGTGCATCTGGAGTGATCATGTTGGAGAATGAAGATCTTTAGCTCCCACACAGGAAACCGAAAGATGAGATTGGACCCAGGG